TAGTGGATGCAGTGTTTGTAGTGGATGTAGTGTGTGTATTAGATGCAGTGTTTCTATATAGTGAATGAAGAGTGTTTGAATGTGTGGTGGATGTAGTGTGTGTACTGTGAATACAGGATGTTTGTGTAGTGGATGCTGTGTGTATAGTTATTGCAAAGTGTGTGTTAGTGTAGTGAATGCAGAGTGTGTGTCAGTGTAGTGAATGCAGAGTGTGTGTCAGTGTAGTGGATGCAGAGTGTGTCAGTGTAGTGGATGCAGTGTTTGTCAGTGTAGTGGATACAGAGTGTGTGTCAGTGTAATGAATGCAGAGTGTGTGTCAGTGTAGTGAATGCAGAGTGTTTGTCAGTGTAGTGGATGCAGAGTGTTTGTCAGTGTAGTGGATACAGAGTGTGTGTCAGTGTAATGAATGCAGAGTAGTCTGGGCCCCCCAGGACCGCCGGGCCAGTGACAACCGTCATGGTTGTTACCCCCTGATGGCGGCCCTGCAGGGGAGGTGTGGTTAGGGCTGATAAAACATAAACAAAAGTGGTTTATCTACTAAATGGCAGAGTACACCCATATTGCTTCATTAAACTAAAGTTGTTTGGTGCCAGGTAGCACCAGCCCTGTGTGAAGAACAAGTGTCATCTCACTTGTAAAGCACAAGTAAGACATAGCATTGGAGGAATGGGTTGTACACGCAGTCTAGCAAACTACAAAGAATCAGCCTCTCAATATATAAATTCAAATAAATAAATATAATGTATTTTTTCCTACCCAGCACATGAATGCAACAGGAAAATAAATGACAGATCTATCTCCGGAAATCAATGAGGAATGAATTATTTAGCATACAAAATATAAGTGAAGTTGTATATGCGCACCTGTGACCATCAACTGTGAATATTGTACTTTGAAAAAGATCCCTAAAGGACAAACTGTTATAACTGCAAAGACTATCAACAGCTATTGAGTAATTTAGTCTGTCCTTAGAATGTAGTCAGCAAATGCTGCTGTATTACTATTACATATTGTATTAGCGGATTTGGATGCATAACTTTACCCAATAAGCTTACACTGGTAATTATTTTAGATAAATACCACAATCAGAAATATGTCCTCTAAAAATGTTGGCATTAGGTCACACTAGACCATCAGCAATGCTGGCATTAAGCTGGGTGCTGACCTAGCCTTGGTAGAATATTGTGAAATGTTGGAATCCCTACATGCATCAAACCACGTCTTTAAGGTAGCTTTTGCGTGAGAACGCCTCTTGGACGAACATTTCTCCATAATGTAATGCCATAATACACTAAATCCATTATTACTCAATGAACCATTTTCCATGAAGAATCAGCAGATAATTACACGTTATGTTTGACGGCATCCGCCATTATTTTACTAAAGGATTTTCAAAGTGGTGGAGTACGTAATTAGAAGCTTAGAAGCAGCTTACTCCATTTGGTCAAGCTAGACGGAACTCAAGCTATTTCTTAAAATGAGCTCTTTGTGTAATGCAGTTCTAGAGCCTGACTAGCAAATCCATAAAATGAAATCACTGATGGGGAACAAATCTGAGGCATGGCAAGATTTGTTTTTTTTCTTTACTAGACTGACAATTATTGTTTATCATTAGTAGTCATACAATTTAGAAGAGTAGTTCAAAACACTTATTCTAGAAGAAATATGAAGCGATGTGGAATAAGAACACACTTCTAGAACTTAATTTACTACAGCATGATATATTATATGTACCTGTGGACAGAGGGCAGCATAATAATCTCCTTTGTGCCAAGGTTAACAAATTTAAACCTCTTTAGTTTAGAAAAATGTCGGCTGAGAGGGGATATGATAACATTATACAATTATATTCGGGGCCAATACAAACCATTGAGTGGAAATCTATTCACAAACCAGACTTTACATAGGACACGAAGCCATGCGTTTAGACTGGAAGAAAGAAGATTTCGTCTAAGGCAAAGGAAATGTTTTTTTTACTGTAAGAACAATCAGGATGTGGAATTATCTGCCTGAAGAAGTGGTTTTATCAGAGTCCATACAGATGTTCAAACGGCAACTAGATGCATACTTGCAAAAACAGAATATTCAAGGATAAAATTTTTCAATGTAGGGTAATAGCTGCTTGATCCAAGGATAAATCTGACTGCCATTCTGAATTTTTTTCCTAGTTTGTTGCAAAATTGGAAGCGCTTCAGACTAGGTTTTTTTGCCTTCTTTTGGATCAAAAACAAATGTGAGGAAGGCTGAACTTGATGGATGCAAGTCTCTTTTCAGCTATGTAACTATGTAAGTCCCACAAGAGTCATCTCCTCTTGATCAGATGCCTCAGGTAGTAATGAAAGGATCATAACAGTGTGGGTCAACCAATGTTCCACATATGACTTAAAATAAAATGTCAGTACTCAAAATAATGTCACTACTCTGGAAATTACACAATTAAATATTTTAAATCAACTAAAGCAGGGGTGCCCAAAAGAAAGATCCCCATATGTTTTAAAACAGCTTCCATGATGCTTTGTCATTTTAAAGGCATGTAAAGCATCATGCGCCTCGTCATTCTACAACATCTGGGATCTACCTTTTGGACACCCCTGCTCTAAAGCTTCTGTTAACTTTTCTTCATGTGTTGTTCTGTTTTCATTTACTTTTATAATAAAGGATTACCAAATTACATCACAATCATCCAGTTCAGTCCAGGCAGAGCCATGGCACACAACGCAAAGGAAGAGGAGAAACATGGTTCAATATTCCTCTTCTCTACATGCGGTCTCTATTCTGACTGCCATGTGCAAAGGAGTTACCGCCTCGGTTTAGCCACCCTGCTGTACTATTTTAGCCTCTCTGCTGCACTATTTTAGGACAGTCCTTCCGTGATACACAAACCTGCGGCTAACACCCGGTGGTAATCAAACTTGTTCTTTTCTTATCTTATGCCTTTTATTTAGCTTGATTCTCAGTAACTAGTTATTTACTTTGACTAAGCTTGTTATTACTGGTAGCAATCAATTTCAGTGCCTAAGAAGTGTAATTGCTATAACATAACTTTTCTCACTATAACCCCTACGCACTGAATAGCTTTCATCACTGTTTTTCCTGTTATTATTTAAAAGATAAATAGTGCTGTATGGCTGACATTTTATGACAATCTTGCTCTCAACTTCACTGTATTATTTCATCTAAAAATTTAATTGTAAGCTTGTTAACTAACCGATGCACTCCAAAAATAAAGAATTTAAAAAAAAATACAGAAAAAAATAATAATCCAGGTATAGATTTATCCCCAAGTATCCCCTTCCCCTTCTTATCCCCTTCTTAATATGGTACCAGGACATGAAGACTAGTCCTTAAAAGGACACTATAGGCACCAAAACAACTTTAGCTTAATGAAGCAGTTTTGGTGTGTAGATCATGCCCCTGTGCTCTTACTGCTCAATTCACTGCCATTTAGGAGTTAAATCACTTACTTTATACAGCCCTAGTCACACCTCCCTGCATGGGATGTACACACTTCCTATAAAGTGAAATCTAACTTTATGGCAAGACAGGAGGCTTCATATTTGCTTTAACCTTCTTTACTGAACCTCCCAGCAGCAAAGAAATAGATAAACATATAGAGAAAAAAAATCAACCAATCAGGACACATATTAGAACACAACAGTCTGTCAGGCTCCTCCCAACTCCTCTTTCTTTGCTGCTTGCCTCCCAGGTGAGTCTATTCCAATTATAGCTCTCTAAAATATATTATTGACCTGCCTTATTTAGTTTTTTCCATAGATTTTTTTGACTCCTTTAATTAACTTTCCCTGTCAGTTTTACTCACATGAGATAATGTGTGTGTTTATTTTTATCTCTGCCCTTTATCACATCGACCTTTCTCAGGTCAGCCCACTGTCCAGTCCCTTCCCTGTGACTTTATTTATCTCTGACTATTTTTTTTCTAATGTAAAACCTTACTAATCATTTCCTTGGTGAAATTATCTTCAGATCGCACCACTGCAGTGGCTGCGGTCCGTTTTGATCACGCCCGCAATCTATTTCTGTACCGCCCTTTTTTTCGCGTCATTGATTGACACACAGTTTTCCCGCCTTCCTCCGTCTTGCCGGCGGCCATCTTCTGTTCGGCGGTTAAATTTCCCGTTCGCGCGCTTTTCAGGAACTGCTCTCTGCTACTGGATTGCACCTCTGTTAAACTGTGAGTATTCATTGCCCCCTGCTGGTACATTTTGTTGTTACTCTTGAACTATTACAGAACACTTGCTTATCATAGCCTTTTGTGTTTTATTTTCAGATTGCTCTCAAACTTACAAAACAGCTATATGCCTATTAGAGGGTGACCCCCTCTTGCCTCTTTTATTGAGGGTGATCCCCTTGTGCCTTATCTCTTATATATATTTTTATTGATTGCACAGGTTACCCCTGTCATTATTATATTGACAGTTTAACTGCCGTAATTGTGGATGAACCCCACTGAGTCCCCTTAAAGGTGACGGCATATTGTCTGGGTGAACCCCAATAAGACAGCCCCTGATTTTACTTTGTTTGTGACAAGTTTGTTAATATATATATATATATATATATATATATATATATATAACAAAAGTAGTAATGCACTCCACCTTCCTTGATGTACTTGCCCGGTGCTTATCAGCAAACAGATACAGCCAAAAATACAAGGATGAAAGTCTGTGATACAGACTGAAACGTTGATTTTTATTTTGAGCTAATAAAAGCTAAGTTTTATTCATTCAACTTGGAAGTCCCTGGAGTGCTATCTTGTATTTTTGGCTATATATATATATATATATATATATATATATATAAAAAATAATAATAAATACAAAATAAAAAATAAAAATTGTTTAATATACCTGTTGGTATATTGATTCTGTGGTGAAACCACTACTATTTTACTGGTCATTAGTGATGTCCAGATCGGTTCGCCGAACGGTTCGCCATGGACTCATCATTTGAGTAAACTTTGACCCTGTACCTCACAGTCAGCTGACACGTTCCAGCCAATCAGCAGCAGACCCTCCCTCCCAGTCCCTCCCACCTCCTGGACAGCATCCATTTTGAAGCTGCATTCTTAGTGAGCTGTCCAGGAGGTGGGAGGGTCTGGGAGGGAGGGTTTGGGAGGGAGGGTCTGCTCCTGATTGGCTGGAATGTGTCTGCTGACTGTGAGGTACAGGGTCAAAGTTTACTCAATGATGAGTCCGTGGCGAACCGTTCGTGGCGAACTGTTCGCGAACCGTTCGGTGAACCGTTCGGGACATCACTACTGGTCATCATGTCGGACCAACCGGAACCTTCACTGTCAGCAGAATTAAAAGCCTGGCTTCAAGCTGCAATTGCAGACTCTATCCCCAAAGCCTTGGCAACGTTTCATGACCAGACAGCCCCTATTGCCACCATCACGCAATTGTCAGACTCGGATGATTCCAGGGTCTCTGACCATGACGAAGCCCCACGTAAGTGCCCTTGGAAGGGTAACAGTGCTTCTGCTGGCAAAGGCAAAGCCCCAGCAAAGACAGCTAAATTGTCTCATGCCAAACCCACTTTGACTTCAGAATCTGACCCCTTAAAGGGTTCAACCTCTGGCTATCACCTTCGAGTGATAGATGAATACAATGCATATCCAGATGAGGATCTCCCAAGTGACCCTTCCTCTTCTGAATTTGTTACGGAGACTTTTCTCCTACCCCAAAACCAGTCCTTTCAGGACACTGATCCTATGTCCACTACTAATTTAGACAATACTAAGGACGATATCATACTGGATACCAATGGTTGTCCTCTATTTGACCCACGTTGCATCAGACACCCTCGTTCAGCAGAATGGACACCCCCTGATCACATTGCCAAATATTGCAGATTATGGCTTTGTAAACCTTTAGAAAAGGAGGTTAGAGCCGAATTAAAAGCAGAATGTCCACGGCCTATAATCCCTGATAAGGTGGCTGTCACCCCTGAACTTGACCCACTCCTGGTCACTTTTCTAACTAAGACGGGTAAAGATTCCCGCAAAGGAATCGAAGTTGGCTTAAAAGCCACCCAAGACAAGCTGATGGATATAGCTGGCCCGCTTATCCAGCTTTTTATAATCGCTGACGAGACGCTAGCAGGTGGCAATTTTGACGCACACATGGTTCGTGAATGGGCACAAAGAGCATTATGCCTGTTGGGCAACGCCAATGTAGCTATTTCCGTTGAACGGCGTAAAGCCGTATTATATAAAATTGACGCCAAATTGGCAGAATTAGGCACCAAAGAACTTGGTCCAGAGGCTAATGGACTGTTATTTGGGGACAGGTTCATACGGGACCTGAATAAACACGTATCTGTGTTTACCTCCCTCAACAAGGCACAATGGAACCTTTGCAGGGTGTTCAGGCCCCAGCGTTTTTCCGGGAGAGCTGGTCGCTACAGGGGCCGAATGACTGGCAGAGCTGCCTTCACAGGCTACAGGCCTCAGCCAGAAGACTCATGGAATTCAGACAATACCCGTTTCTACCACAAGCAGTTCTTTCCCTCTAGACATTCCATCAGAGGACGTGGATATGCTTCCCTCCGGGGCCGCACTGCTTCAGGTAATTGACTTTCCTTATTCTTAAGTTCCTATTGCAGGCCGGTTAACCCTTTTTTTCCAACAGTGGTCTCTATTAACCCAGGATCCATGGATCCTTCAAACCGTATCTGGTTTCCATATAGATTTTGCAAACGACCCTCTACAGGAGTCTCCCCCTCCACCTCTGCACATGTCTCAAGAGGACAATGCGACCTTGAAGGCCGCGCTAAACGACCTTGTCGCCAAGGGCACTATAGAACGTTCTCTGTCCCCTCACAGATTCATAAGCAACATATTTCTGGTCCGAAAACAGTCAGGAGACTTTCGACCAGTTATCAACCTGAAAGACCTAAACAATTTTATTGTTTACCAACATTTCAAAATGGAGGGTATCCACCTCCTTCCAGACCTACTCTGCGAGGGAGACTGGTTCTCCCGTTTGGACTTGACAGATGCTTACCTCACGGTTCCTATAACACCGGCCCATCGCTGTTTCCTACAGTTCAGATGGCATCAAGACTTATGGCAGTTCACATGCCTCCCCTTTGGACTCTGTTCCGCACCTTGGTGTTTCACCAAGCTGATGAAACCGGTCATGGCCTTGCTACGCTCTCAGGGGATTCGCTCCATCATATATTTGGACGATATCCTCCTTATGGCTCGGGACACAGGCACTCTACGCCTCCATACAGACATGACCACAGCTCTGTTAAAAAACTTGGGTTCGTGATCAATGTCAAAAAATCCGTCCTCACCCCGTCTCAGATGGTTCAATTCCTTGGATTCCAAATAGATTCTGTTTTGGCTATCCTACAACTCCCTTCAGTAAAGAACATCAAAAAAGACATCAGAAAAATTCTAGCCTCTTCAACTATCCGTCTTAGCGACTTAGCTCGCATAATCGGACTACTCTCCGCCTCGATTAAGGCGATCTTCCCAGCTCCTTTACATTACCGAGCAATGTAACGTCTGAAGACTCGCTCTTTACGTCACTCTGCATCTTACGATCAATAGATCTCCTTGACAGATGAAGTCCAACTCGAACTGAATTGGTGGCTACACCATATGGATGCATGGAACGGGAGAGCGATCTTCGGATCACAGCCAGATTACATCCTAGAATCAGATGCCAGTCTTCTGGGGTGGGGTGGGGTGGGGTGGGGTGCATCATGCGCAAATCTCTCTACCGGAGGTCCTTGGTCCCCATCAGAACGGGCATTGCACATCAATTGCCTCGAGTTGATTGCCGGTTCCTTTGCGATTCGCAGTTTCGCAAAGGACTCTTGCAATTGTTCCCAAGTGCTGAGAATGGACAACATCTCAGCTGTTCAATACGTGAATCGCTTAGGGGGATCCCGTTCCAAAATGCTCTCTGACCTCACAAAAGAATTATACCAATTTTGCCTAGACAGGAACATCTCCCTTCGAGCAGAGTATCTACCTAGTTCCTACAACTTAGTCGCAGATTGGTTCTCTTGACACTAGAGAGACTCCAGCGACTGGTAATTGGACCCACACTTTTTTACCAACTCCATCTTCTTCGGGGTCCATTCAACCTCGACCTATTTGCGTCTCGTCTGAATCGACAGACGGACGCTTTTTTCAGTTGGTTGCCGGATCCGACCTCTCTGGTAGTAGACGACTTCCTTCAATCTTGGCCAATGACCGGAGCTTATGCCTTCCCTCCGTTCTCCATGATCCTTCACACTCTCCATCATCTCAGGACTCAGGGGACCACAATAACACAGCTGACCCCTTTGTGGCATACCCAACCATGGTTTCCCAATCTCTTGGAGATGTCGGTGGATTATCCACTACTGCTACCTGCCGCGCACGATCTTCTCAAAGATCCCGCAGGCAACTTTCACCCTCTTGCGTTGCAGGGTCATCTCCAGCTAGTGGCCTGGACTGTTTCAGGGGATCCTGGAATGCCGCAGGACTTTTGGAGACTGCTAGAGAACTCTTATGGGACTCATGGGCCCCCGGGACTAGACGCTCTTACCTCTCAGCCTGTCGAGTTTGGCATCGCTGGTGCTTGGAAAGGGGTATTGATCCCGTTTCAGCTTCTTTGATTAACGTTATGAACTTTCTGTCCTCTCTTTTTGATCAAGGTAAATCCTACAGATCCATTAATGTGATTTGTTCAGCAATTTCAGCAGCTCATGGCCCCATTGATAATACAGCAATAGGTAAACTCCCCTCCATCTATAAACTGTTGCGTGGCATTTGTTTTGCTCGACCTCCTGTCCCAAAATATTCTCATTTTTGGGATGTTGCTCTTGTTTTGTCCTTCCTGGAGACTTGGCCACTCAACTAGGCACTCTCTCTACGACAACTGTCGGACAAATTAGCTCTTCTTCTCTGCTTAGTTTATTTTAGAAGAGTGTCTGATATTCAGGCATTTGACTTTCACGCTATTGATTTCACGCCCCAAGGTGTACGTTTCAAGATTTCTCGCCCCACTAAAACTAATTCCTTAACGATTACTTACCCTTATTTTTCTGACAAGCCGTCGCTCTGCGTTGCTCGTTGTGTCCAACACTACGTCGCCTCTACATCACCCCTACAGGCCCCCTTTTTATCTCATATGTGCAACCACACAAGCCAGTGTCTTGTCCCACGATTGCCTGCTGGATTAAATGGTTTCTCGATTTAGCGGGCATAGATTCCTCTTTTGGAGCTCATTCTGTCAGAGGTGCTGCTGCCTCTTCCGCCTTTATGGCTGGGGGATCCCTTGCAGACATACTAAAATGCGCTGATTGGTCTAGAGAGAATCTACATTCCGTACCTTTATATTTTCGACAATCGTCCCATGCTTCTTTCTCTTTGGTTTCCACACTTTAAAACAGCAAATATGAAGCCTCCTGTCTTGCCATAAAATTCGGGATTATTCTAGCTTTAGTGACTGAATAATCTAAATTTTATTAAAGACAGGAGGCGAATATTTTCCCATCCTTTGGTATCCCACCCCAGATTTTTTTTCAGGTCACATATACTCTTAATTTTTTCTAGGTTTCTTGTAAGACTTTATATTAATCTGGGTGTTTTTTCTGTTTGCTCTTGTTAGTTGCTTATTAATCTGCCTGGTTCTGACTGTTTTAGATTTTGCAATAGTTAATACTCGTAATATCCAGGGGGTAGATCTGTGTATGTAGATATCTTGCGGACACCCAGTCCAAGTGACCATACTTTCACGATCTTTCTCTGTCTTTTAGTGTGAAGTTTCTCTGCATGAGCCACGAAGACTACGTTCCATTGGTCTCTAGTATCGGCTGCGCTCTGGTTTACATGGTTGATGGCTTACTCAAGTTTACACGGTTGACTACACTTATGATCGGCTGCATCAGAAAGAGGATTTGGGAGGAGCCTGACAGACTGTTATGTTCTAATATGTGTCCTGATTGGTTGATTTTTTCTCTATATGTTTAACTATTTCTTTGCTGCTGGGAGGTTCAGTAAAGAAGGTTAAAGCAAATATCCGCCTCCTGTCTTTAATAAAATTTAGATTATTCAGTCACTAAAGCTAGAATAATCCCGAATTTTTACACTTCTGTTTAGTTAAGAATTTCTTCAGCACTCCAGAAAAACCCAAAGATGAGTAAAGC